TCCTAGTGATTGGCCCAAAGACACCCACCTAGGTGGGATCTAGAATTAAAGTGGGACTAGAACTCACCATGTTCTAGTGATTGGTCCAAAGTCACCCAGCCAGTGGGATCTAGAATTAAGGTAGGACTAGAACTCACCATCTCCTGGTAATTGGCCCAAAGTCACCCAGATGGCTTTCATGGCTAAGGCGGCACTAGAACTCACTGTCTCCTAGTGATTGGCCCAAAGACACCCACCCAGGTGGGATCTAGAATTAAAGTGGGACTAGAACTCACCATGTCCTAGTGATTGAGTCCTACTTGTAACCGGTCATAATTCCTAGAAGCAAACTGAGAAACTGCCACCAAAGGTTGTTTTAGACTAGAGCCACACGCATTGTTGGAAAAGTGTGTCTAGACAGCAAATAAACAGCAAATTCATCTTTGCCATCTGAATCCTTAATCCAAGTTGGTTTGTTTCTCTTTCTTCAGGTGGGTTGCAAAGCTGCGATGGTGTTTTTCCAGTACTGCATCATGGCTAATTTCTTTTGGCTTCTGGTCGAGGGCTTGTATCTTCACACCCTCTTGGTCATCTCCTTCTTTTCAGAGAAGAAATACTTCTGGTGGTACATTGTCATAGGCTGGGGTATGGTGCCTTTCTCGTTTCCCTACACAGATGCCTTCCACGCATTGCCGTTATTCTTGTACTTATCGATTAGTTTATTTGCATCCCGCCTTTAATATTTTTATAAATAACTCAAGGCTGCGAACATGTGTTAGACTCCTTCCTCCTCCTGTTTTTCCCATCACAACAACCCTGTGAGGTAGGCTGGGCTTAGAGGGAGGGACTGGCCCAAAGTCACCCGGCTGACTTTTGTACCTAAGGCAGGATTCGAACTCGCTGTCTGCTAGTGTTTGGTTCAAAGTCACCCAGCCAGCTTTTGTGCATAAAGCAGGACTAGAACTCACTGTCTCCTAGTGATTGGTTCAAAGTCACCCAGCCAGCTTTCGTACATAAAGCAGGACTAGAACTCACCGTCTCCGGGTTTCTAGCCTGGTGCCTTAACCACTAGATTACTGATTGGTCTGAATGCTCCGGCATTTGATTAGCCCAGAATTATCCAGTTAGTTTCTGTGCCTAAGACAGAACTAGAACTCGCTGTCTCCTGGTGATTGGCCGAAACTCACCCAGCTGGCTTTTATGCATAAAGCAGGACTAGAACTCACCGTCTCCTGATGATTGGCCCAAAGTCACCCAGCTGGCTTTCATGCATAAAGCAGGACTAGAACTCACCGTCTCCTGATGATTGGCCCAAAGTCACCCAGTCAGCTTTCATACCTAAGGTGATAGTAGAATTCACAATCTCCTGGTGATTGGCCCAAAGTCACCCAACTGCTTTTTGTGGCTAAGGCAGGACTAGAACTCACGGTCTCCTGGTGTGTAGCCTGGTGGCTTAAACACTAACCAAACTGGCTCTATTTATTATAATAATCCTTTATTTATTTAAATGGTTGGCTGCTGTTAGGCTTAGAATTCTTTCACCCCTAACACAATTGAGCAATGCTTGACCAGTGATGATGGAGCCGTGGTCTCCAGGATGGAGAAAGCTGAGCTTGGAAATGGTGTCCACATAATACATTAATGTTTTTACGAAGAAGCTAGAATGTTAGAATTGTGATCCTGCTGAAACTCAGTTTGTAAATAGCATTTTTAATTCCTCAAACTAGACAGTTTTCCCTTATAATAATTATGAGCATTGAATTAGGTCTGAATTTATCTCAATGCAGGTAGTCCTCAACAGATGGTCACAACTGAGTCCAAAATGTCTGTTGCTAAGTGAGACAGTTGTTCAGTGAGTTTTGCCCCATTTTACGATCTTTCTGGCCACTGTGGTTAAGTGGGTCACCACAATTTTTAAATTAGCAACACAGTTCTGTTCTGTTGTGTTGTGGCTTCCCCGTTGGCCTTTGCTTGACAAAAGGTCGCCAAAGGGGTTCACGTGACCCTGGGACGCTGCAACCGTCATAAGTACAAGTCAGTTGCCGAGTGCCCAAATTTTGATTACGTGACTCTGGGGATGCTGCAGTAGTCATAAGTGTGAAAAAGGGCCGTAAATCATTTTTTCAGTGCTGTTGTACTTTCGAACGGTCACTAAATGAACTGTCATAAGTTGAGGACTACCTGTAAGTAGGTAATGAAGGGCATTTCCCACGTCTTCCTATATAATAATAATATTCAAAGTGGTGTCCAGCAGGCAAAATAATGTTGTGGTGCTAATTTGGCACATCTGATTTTGCGACTTCTTGATTGTTGTTGTTGTGCCATGCACTGTTTTTAGGGTGTGCAATTACAAAAATGTGACAAATCCTTAATTCTCTGTTGTCAGGTGCTCCAATGCTTTTCATCTTGGCTTGGACCATCACGAGGATACACTATGAAAATAAGGGGTGAGCAGGCATCTCCGTTCTGCTTCTTTCTTTCTCTACATCTCTCTCCTATTTTCCTTCCTTCCTTCCTTCTTTCCATCCATCCTTCCTTTTCTTTCTTTCTTTCTTTCTTTCCCTCCCTCCCTCTTTCTCTCTCCTTCTTTCTTTCTCTCTCTTTCCCTCCCTTTCTCTTTCTCTCTCTCTTTCTCTTTCTCTTTCCCTCTCTTCCCCTTTACTCTTTCTTTCTCTCTTTCCCTCCCTTCCTCTTCCTCTTTTTCTTTCTTTCTTTCTTTCTTTCTTTATTTCTTTATTTATTTATTTATTTCTCTTCTTTCCCTCTTTCTTTCTCTTTCTTTCTTCCTTCTTTCTTTTTTCTGTCTTCTTTCTTTTTCTCTCTCTCTACATCTCCTCCTCCTCCTCCACCTCTTCTTCTTCTTCTTCTTCAAAATATTAAAAACATAAAAACATTGGTGCAGTAAAAGTTGAAACATTAAAATATTAATTTATGGCTATTTGCAGCCTCCCACAACCATAATTTCTGACCCTTTTTTGTTGGAAACCAGCACTTATTTCCAATTTCTGACCAAAAAATTACCCAACAATAACAATGGATTCACTTAATGACCACAGTAGCGGTCGCTGAACAACCCCAGCGTTGACTTAACAAGCATGTTGGTTTAACAGCCCGTGTAGAAAAAGGTTGGAAAATTGAGCCCGATCGTGTGGTCACCAGGTTAACGACCAACACAAGTTACAGGCTCAATTCTGATTTTAACTTGAGGACTATCTGTATAGCCTGCATTTGGGTGGGCTTCTGGAGCATTCCAATTGTGTATTTTAGTTGTGTCATTTTAATCAAAATCATATTTTTTCTGTTTGCTTCCTCTGTGACCCCTTGGGTTTGATCTAATTTGATAATTTGACAATTTCTTTTCAGTTGCTGGGATTTAATCGAATCTCCATATTGGTGGATTATCAAAGCTCCCATTTTGGTTTCTATATTGGTAAGGAATTTGGGTGTTTTTTTATTTTTTTCACAATCTAAGTTGACAACTTTAAGACTTTTGGACTTCAACTCCTGGCTGAGGAATTCTGGGAGTTGAAGTCCACAAGTCTTAAAAGTTGCCAAGTTTGGAGAACCCTGATCTAAATACCTTGAAATAACTTCCTTCATCTCCGTAGTTTGATTCTGTGTAAATGAACAGTAGGTCCTCAACATACAATCACAATGGAACCCCAAACTGCCATTATAAAGCAAAACAGTCATTAGGTGAAATTTTTCCCCATGTAAAGGCTTTCTTTGTTGTTAAGTGAATCACTGCCATTGCTAAATTAGTCACACTGTTGTTAAGTGAATCCAGCTTCCCCATTGACTTTGTTTGTTAGACAGTCACAAAAGGAGATCACATGACCCCAGGACACTGCGGCGTCATAAATATGAATCAGTGTCTGAATTCTGATCACGTGACCATGGGGATGCTGCAGTGGTTGTAAGTGTGAAAAAATGATCATAAGTCTTTTTTTCAGGGATATGGTATCTTTGAACCGTCACTAAATGAACTGTTGTAAGTTGAGGACTACCCTGTTGTTTGATTCTGTGCAAACAAACAGTAGAAATGATCCTTGACTTATGACCAGAATTAAACCCAAAACTTCTACTGCTAAGCAAGACAGCAGTTAAGTGATTTTTGCCCTGTTTTGACAACTTTCCTTGCCCCTGTGGCTAAGTGAATCACTGCAGTTGTTAAGTCGGTCACACGGTTGTTAAGTGAATCTTGCTTCTTTCTCGTAAGAAGGAAAATGGAGAGATTTCCTTCAGGCCTACTTAATAAATGCAACCGAGCCCAAGGATAAAATTGTCAAAATATATTGCAAGAGACAAAAACAGGATACAGACAGTCTTGGAATGGCACTGAAAAACATAACTTATGACCGGTCCTCACAGTTACAACCCTTATAGCAACCCCACTATCATATGATCAAAATTCGGGCACGTGGCAACTGGCATGTATGGATGATGGGTTGAGTGGTCTCGAGGTCATGTGATCACCATTTGTGGCCTTCCCAGCCAGCCTCCGACTAGCAAAGTCAATGCGGGAACCAGGATTCACTTAATGACTGCCCGATTCATTTAATGACCGCCCGATTCACTTAATACCTGCCAGATTTACTTAATGATCCCAGATTCACTGAAGTGTAGTGACTTCTTGATGACCGTGACAAAAAAAAAGGTCATATTCTGGTCATAAATTGAGGACTACCTGTACAATGTCCGTTTCCTATGCCTTTTGCCTATCCGTTTTTCTGAAAAAATGTCTCAGAAATAGATGATCAATATCCATGATGCTCTGTATGGATTTTGTCCTCTGCACAACAAGGAATTTTAATGCTTCTTTTTTTTAAAAAAACAACAACAATATGATCCACAGGTCAATTTCGTGCTCTTTATTTGCATCATTCGGATCCTGGTTCAGAAGCTTCACTCTCCAGATGTCGGGCGAAACGAAGCAAGCCAATATTCGTAAGTTTGGGCCTGGGGGATGAGGGTCATCTGAAAACCCCGTGGTTTGTCCTGAGCCGACCTCCTGGATCTGACTGAGGATCGGAGACCTCTGCAGGGAGAGTCTCGCCCAAAAAAGAGGGGGTTACAATCGTGCAATTAAGCTCCGCCCCGTTTTTATGCACATGACAAGCAGTCCTCGACTTACGGCCACAATGGAGTCCCAAATTTTCCCTGCTAAGCAAGACAGTCGCTAAGTGACTGTTGGCCCCATTTGTCGATCTTTCTTGCCACAACTGTTAAGTGAACCACCCCAGTTGTTAAGTTAGTCACATGGTCGTAAAACGAATCTGATTTTCCCCATTGACTGTGCTTGTCAGACGTGGCAACCGTCATAAATGTGAACCATTTGCCAAGTGTCCAAATTTTGATCATTGGGATGCTGTCTGGACTAGAACTCACTGTCTCCTAGTGATTCGGCCAAAGTCCACCCAATTGTTTTCATGGCTAAGGTGGGACTACAACTCACTGACTCCTGGTTTCTGTAACCTGGTGCTTTCACCACTAGGCCAAACAGTTAAGGGTTAGAATGATTGCTAGAATCTCTGATCTTCTCTCCTGTCCTCCAAGATGAAATAATTTGTCATTATAGGGTGACCTCTTTGAGCAGAGGGCTGGACTAGAGGACCTCCAAGGTCCCTTCCAACTTTGTATTCTGTCATTCTGTAAGGGTCTCCTGTTTCAGCAGGGGGCTGGACTAGAACAGGACTTTTCAACCAGTGGTACAGGTACCCCCTGGGGTACATTGGCACCTGGCAGGTGGTACGCGACCGTCCTAGAAAAGTGGTAGTGGGGGAGGGGAATGAGCTGAACCGGTGGCAGCACCGCACAAGCCTGGGTGAGAGACGGCTGGAGCTGCAGGGCTGTCAGGGCTCAGCAGAAGCGCCAGGATTAGCGCTTCTTCAGGGTTGTCAGGGCTCAGCGGAAGCACCAGGATCAGTGCCAGGCTCCAGCTGGAGCTCAGCGCTGATCCCGGCCCTTCTGCTGAGCCCTGAAGAAGCGCCGATCAGCTGGAATGTTGCAGCATCTCCAGGGTCTTGTGATTTACATTCAGATGCTTGGCAACTGATTCATATTTATGACGGTCACAATGTCCCAGGGTCATGTGAAGTGACCAAAACCTGCTGCAACCACCCAGCAGACGGGGGGAAATAAAAACCAAACACCCCCCCACCCCACCCCCGCTGCCAATCCTCAGCAGAAATGCTCACAACAATGAAAACCTCGGACAGGAGGAAGAGCGCCACCGGGTGGGCAGGCAGGTGTCTTGCTCGACTGTGCCTTGGAGGGCACTTTTTCAGTGCCATTGTAACTTTGAACAGTCACTAAGCGAACTGTTGTAAGTCGAGGACTACCTGTACTTTATCACTTTTTTCCCTTTTTTTTTTTTTTTGGTCATTAAGTTTTTGACACCTTGCTAGGCAACTGGTGGTACTCGGATGTTGCCGTATCCTAAAAGTGGCAGAATGGGTGAAAAGGTTGAAAAGCTCTGGACTAGAGGACCTCCAAGGTCCCTTCCAACTCTTATTCTGTAGTAGCTAAACCACAAAACTCCACTCCTGGCCCCTGATAATCCCCCGTTTTTCTCTTGCTCAGGAGACTAGCCAAATCCACTCTTCTTCTGATCCCTCTGTTTGGCATCCATTACACCATATTTGCCTTTTTCCCGGACACGGTCAAGAAAGAAGTGCTGTACGTCAAACTGGTCTTCGAACTTATTTTGGGGTCCTTCCAGGTGAGCTCTCTGTCCTCCCTATAGTCCAGGATTTTCCAGACATGGTGACTTTAAGACTTGTGGACTTCAACTCCCATAATTCCTCAGCTAGGCATGTCCACGTGTCTTAAGGTGGCCACATTTGGAGACCCCCGGCACAGTTCTTTCCTAGAATACTCTGTCAGAGAGAGCCTGGGGTCCAGGCGGGGGTGGGTGGGTGGTATTATATGCCCCCCGGGGACGTTGAGCCAAAGAATCTCCCCCCAGGAAGGAGGAGGGAGGGAGGGAGGGTGGGAGGAAGAAGGGAAGAATTAGGAGGAGAGGAAGAAGGGGAGGGAGGGAGGAAGGAAGGAAGGAGAAGGAATGAGGAAGGAAGGAAGGAAGGAAGGAAGGAAAAGAAAGGAAGGAAGGAAGGAAGGAAGGAAGGAGAAGAAAGGAAGGAAGGAAAGAAAGAGGAAGGAAGGAAGAGGAAAGAAAGAAAGGAAGGAAGGAAGGAAGGAAGGAAGGAAGG